TTTTTTACAAATCGGGAAGAAAAAAAACTCGTATTTAGATCAAATTATTATTTCTTTTACTACAATAAACATTTGTTATTATTATGTTTGTTAATAAAAATACAAATAAATTGAAGTAAAGAGAAAAGCATTGATGTCAAACGAATATGCATCCCCATTCATCCTGATTTTTTGTATGCGTGTGAAATCTAAGTCTTTTAGTCTCAAATCTACATGTTGTGGTCTTTCTTTTATGTATTGCGTTATGAAGTTTTGTGAAAAATCTGTACGTGATGGAGAAAAATGGATATAATTTCGGATTCAGCGTACAGGTATTATTATAGAACATGTAAGACAATAAAATCATCGCAGGCCTGTGTTATTAGTTTCAACTTCTGTCTTCATTCTTTATGGTAGGAATAAAGATAAAATGGAAAGTGACTCTTCTGACCCTGTTTACTCGTAAAGTTTATCTTGATGAAATTAGTTAACCTTGTAACGTTGTACTTAAAAGAGGAAGAACGCACCAAACATTTATGAGAACCTTCACCAAGGAGTTGTAAATGTAATCTCCAACGGATCCATGCTATTTTAATTTATGTAGGTCAAGAATACATGTATAAGATTGTGTTTCACAAACAGCCTACAGCTATGGCCGAAGGTTTTGGATCATCCTAGATTTATCTAATTTATTTATAAGATCAATTAAATCCTGCTGAATAATGTTACGTTTTTTTAATGCCATGTGGAGGATCCTAAATGATAACGCGATCCTTCAGCGCTTCATTGTATCCATGCCTGAGAAGCTTAAAATTTTAGGATGATGCAAAACTTTTAGCCATAGTTTTATATACATAACTCTGGTGTGAAGTTTATGATTTGTCTTTTTTTTTTTAAATATGAAGTAAATCAGATTTGGAAGGCCCGGCATGGCCAGGTGGTTAGGGCTCCTTGACTCGCAATCTGAGGGTCGCTGGTTCGAATCCTCGTTCCACCAAACATGCTCGCCTTTTCAGCCGCGAGGGCGTTATAATGTAACTATCAATCCCGCTATTCGTTGGTAAAAGAGTAGCACACGAGTTGGCGGTGGGTTGCGATGACTAGCTGCTTTCCTTCTAGTAAGTAAGGGACGGCTAGCGCAGATAGCCCTCTTGTAGCTTTGCGCGAAATTCAAAACAAACAAACTTCTTTAGAAAATTTTAAGATTTGTCTACCAAGAATACTTTTAAATACCGTTACTCATTTAGGGTTTCTGTTAATAAATTGATAAAATCTGTAACGTTTATAAACCTGAGAAAATTAAATAGCATAACGAGATTTATCTTTGTTATTTGAAGCGGGTAGCTGGTTAACAATAAATTTAAAGGTTAGTGTTTTGATCTTATTCAAAAAACAAACAAACTATGAAAAAGATGTTTGTAAGAAATTCTCTCAAAAGTCACTTTCTACACTTTTTTTGTTGTTGTTACAAACAGTGGGAAAACTTTGAAATTATAATGTTAAGAATATTTATTAATGTTTGTTTTTTTATGTCATTTAACGTTTTTCTGATGAACATAAAGGTTTACGTGAGGACTTGAAAAGCTGGAATGTTTGGCTTGGCTCCAATCAAAATATGTAATCTTCAGCACAAAATCCAACTTAGATAGAAATTCTTCACGTAAATACCACAAAAACTAGTTTTGCTTATTTTCTTCCAATTTGCAATCCTTTATTCTCTCGCTAGACTTAATATTCTAAAGTGGCGTGACACGTATGACTTTAATTAACGTAACATTGAGTATGAAGCTGTCCTTAGTAAATGGCAATGTTTCGAAAAGGGGTGTAGCTGAAAGGTTTCCATTAAAAATTCATATTAATAACCTTTATCAAAAATGTTCAACATTACTACGTATTT